TGAACCATAACCTGTATGTCATTAGATGCCTCATCGACGTACTCCAGTAGTTCCTAAAACCTGCGGCAACTACTTGGTTCGAGACTAATATCATGCAGCAAGCAGTCCGTTGCCTTGTTAAGCACCTTTGTGCTGGATCTATAATTTACATTACCAGGAACACTACAAAATGACAACACTAGTAAACACTTTACAGACGTTTCCGTCTGTTTTTCGACCAAAGGCAGTCCAATTGATGTATTGTTACTGCGTTGCATATATCCGTCAAAGCTTCTTCGACGTCGCAACGTTCTCACCAAGCTCAAAACTTTCTCAATATACACGCATCATCCACATTAGAATGCCGTGACAAAGGCTAAATCCATGGCGCTTTATCATGGCCGTAGCACTTGGTCCATAAGAACATTCTCAATTAGCTGTTGGTCGGCCTTTATGTTTCGTGCAGCATCATTCAGCAGACAATCGGTGAGTGCTCGGACGTATTTGGGGTCGGAAACAATACCTGTCTGCGTGTCCAGCATGATCTGTGAAATAAGCTGAAGCAAAGGTAGTTGGCATTGAGGTGTTGAAGCTTTGGCTCGCTTGATTATAGCGTAGCTTCGGTGACGGGAAGTGAAACCGCCGAAGAGTTCTTGTGCGATATCAAGAGGTACAATTGATGCCACCCAGACGACAATGTCACGTTCAGCTTCCACGTATCGACGTACAACCTGCTTGATGCATACGTCAGTGCTCGAATTACCGGCGACCAGTTCCTCTGAGAAGTACTCGATGATTGTATTCGGCGTATCGAGATTCTGTCCAAAGGAAATAACACCAAATCATTACACCGCAACGTTACAACATTGCAGGTAGATTTTCTTGATAGCGCGTACGTACCTAAGTTTCTTTTGCATACAGTGTTCCCCGGTGTTTCTTCAAGCCCTTGAAATAGTTCCATGTAGCCTCCCGCTGTGGCACGATGTTCAAGGGCATAACCTTATTTGAAAACACTTCATAATACATTCCATCCACACCTTCCCGCATTTGAACGTCCTGCTGTGTCATTTCCTTCCAAGCAAGACCATTGGCAACCAGTACTGCATTAACTTGGCTGTAAGCATCGTCAAGATATTGCAGTAGTCCTTGAAAAATCTACAGCATTAGCTTGGAAGTCCAATTTGTGCCCTAAAGGATAAGGCTATCCCACGTCAACCCGACGCTGTAGCGTTGTCGAGCATTCAGCGATCTGCATGACAAGGGAATCATGAGTATCAAAACGCTCATTTCTTAGCGTCAAAATCACAAGTACCGCAAGTGTAACAAACCTGTTCCTGAGCCCGTGTGAGCAGAATCTTCTCCAATTTCTTGGCCACTTCCTGTTGTTTTGCTAACCTACTTTTTAGTCGAGCGTTTTCATACGCTGCGACTTTTCGTTTGTTTTTCTCACGAGCAGTAGTGTCTCTCCATACATTTACATTATCCAAAAATAATGCTCTTCGTTTGAAAAGAAGAATGATTTCATCTTTCTAGCGTGTGTCCTGACTGTACAGAATCTAGTCTTTCTATATTGTTGTATCTACTGTAACTTTGTCTAGACGCTTTATTTTCTCGTGTAAGTAGACGATTTTAAGCTCACGTTGTGGATTCGAGTGATGGTGCACTGTCACATTGTTATCATGATTACTACTTGGTTGTATTGAACAAGGTAAACATGGATGGAGTTCATTGACGTTACTAACATTATTAGGTTGAAACGGTATTTTAGAAATCAGTGATGAGTGTTCAACATTTTCATCAATTCGATCAGAAGCTACTGTAATTTTTGAGAATTTGTCATCATTAGCGTAAAACTCATTAATAAATTGTAGCACTGCTTCTAAGAATTTGTCATTATCAGCCACAAATGTCACGCTGGCAAATATATCGTCAGAATGACACGGAATTGTATGTACAATACACATATATATCTCTATCGATATATTCGATAATAGACTCGGTTATTTACATTATGGCCCAACCAGGTACAGACAGAGAAAGCTCATGGCGATGTTAACTCTTGTGTTATCTTCTTGTTCTAATTATCGCCCTTGACATTCATTATCTCTACATTTGTGAATCATCTCTAGACTCATTCTCGAATCTCCACACTCGTAAACAACCAATGCAATACAATTCGACGTCAGGTGTTGGCAATATGCCACAGTTCTCGTCGCAGCCTGCAATGGGGCAACAGCGGATGCCACAGCGCAGACCTGCCCATCAATTCTTTCAGAAACCTACCGCTTCGGCAGCTCCAGTACAGCCTTTGTTACATAATGTAGGACCTTCTAATCAGCAGGCCGGTGCTGCTGCCTTCCCTCAGGACGTGAGTTTTTTTTTTTCAGTGACAGGATCAATTCCCCTCCCCCTGCATCTTTCTACTGCCGGGTTTGTCTGACGTGTCTGTGGGTGGTGTAATGTATTTGATATAAAGGCTCATCCTCCGGTGTCGAATATGGCTCCGTCTCAGCAGTTTCAATCAATGCCAACAGGCTTCCAGCACCGTCATACGGTGCATGGAAATAACTTTGATGGATATGGCGGCGGAAATGCTCCGGACCATACGCTGCAGAGTGGCAGCAATCCACATCTGCATGTGCAGTATCCTCAGCAAGTGCAACAGGCTGATTTTATTAATCAGTTTTCCAGGTTGGTAAACCTTTTTCTATGATGAAATAGTGAGGGTAGTAAGATTTATGTGTTGACTCTTTTTTCTTGATATTATGTGAAGCAACCCGATGGCAGGACTGGCAATGAACAGTGCACAGGATTTCCTCCAGAAGCAATCAGAGATGTACCTTCCGGGAGCTTATGGCGTTTGGGGCAGCCTCAAATACTATTTTACTGTCAACAACTCTTACGTCAAGAGTCGTCTTAAGGTGTGGATTCTGCAATTCTGCAAGCTGTGCTACCATTAAATTTTACACTCAGTGTTTTGAATGGCTAGATCTTGCTGCTTCCATTTCGACACAAGAACTGGCGCCGTATAGGCAACGGCGAGCAAGATGAATCAAAGCCGGTATGTCTGTTGATTGGATCAGTTCAATATCATTTGGCTCTAGCACAGTAATGCTGTATGTGAATATTATCAGATGCAGTACGCCCCTCCGACTTGTGACAGCAACGCACCAGATCTCTACATCCCGTTGATGGGCTTTCTCACCTACATACTGATTGTAGGCTATTCCAAGGGCACTTCAAACCAGTACGTTGCGAAGTGTGGCGTTTCTCAATGCTTCGTTTTCTTGATACATTTTTTTTACAAAACTGAACAGGTTCAGCCCAGATGTGATCTCCAAGGATGCAAGCTACTGTCTTGTGATGCAGCTGATCGAAATCGGGGTACTGGCCGCCTGCCTTTACGTGCTAAACAGCTCCATCTCGTTCCTTGATTTGGTATCCTTTTCCGGCTACAAGTATATTCCGTTAGTAATTAATACGGTCGTCTTTCAGCTACTCGGCTCCATCGCCTATTACGTGTCGCTTCTGTACACTGGTGTTGCTGTGTCATACTTTACGGTATGTCGCTGTTTAACGCATGAATGGATACTGCAAATAATGTAGCTCTCCGTCTAAAAATGTTCGTGATGTCGTGACGCAGCTCAACTGCATGAAAGGAAGTGTAGCTGAACCAACTCCCTGAAAACCGCCTTTTTCGAAACTATCTGCTCTTTGGGTAAGGAATTCTATCTCCCAATAATGTTCATTGCTCACAGCGGTCTGTTGACATGTGACCACTGTGTTTGTTTTAGTGTTTCGTGTTTGCAGCTTGTCCTAGTGTGCTGGATTTCTTACACCACCGCACCTGGCGAGTAGTTGCGGCCACTAAGGTAGACGCTGCAATTTCGCAGTCATCTCAATAAGGACGTAGAGGTCTACTGTGCTGCGCATCAGCAGCACAGTAGTCTACTAACCAGATGAAAACGATTCACGACGTCACGTTGCCGCACTTGGTGTGCATTTTTCATTCCTCGTCTTTGCCCTACATAATAGGATAACAACAGGACGCCTTCTTGACTGCAAGGAACAACAACAACCACCGCTACGACGTGTATCTCTTCTCAAAGGGTGGTGTTAAAAAACACCAAAGCTTCTGGTCTCCCGTGTGCTCTTACCATTTTTTGTCCATGAACATCTTGGAACGACCAGCAGCTTCACTATTGTACAAAGTAGAAAACAAAATGCAAATTATGAAACGACACAATTGATCGAAGGACCGAAAATCCTCATGCAGGACACTCTTGCTTCTGCCAAACGGAAGCGAAGAGAAACGACATTTTGCTGTCGTGCGGTCAATGCCTAAAACTCCAGTCTTTTTGCAACAGCAGTTTCACTCCTTCAACCTATGTGTCTAACGCCACGCTCACATTATGTCACGACAGCCATGATGTCGACGGCATCAAACTGGAAATACCCAAATGGTGATGAAGCTGCAGATTGACGCAACGGACCAGGTGATGGACATTTCTCCTCTTCCACGCTTTTCAACGGCGCTGACGAACGTCGCGTAAGAATCTGGACCGGCTTCGGGCCCTTTGGATTAAATATTGGAGCTACTGCTCGTGTTGCAGATGAATGTAATGTCGATTTGCCAAAATCATGTGGATTGCCATCATACTCAAACTTCCGCCCCGTCAAACGCTCATTCACACTAAACATATCGTCCACGCTAAAACCCTTCTCTGCGTTGCCAAATGTTTCGCCATTCAAGCCATCATAGAATGTGGCTGTGTCAAATTCTGTACCAAAGTGACCACGGTTAGCCGTCTTTATGTTTCCAGCAGCTGGTCTGATATTATGTGGAGTTGAAATCGATCTCTCCTGTCGATGCGTCTTCTTCTTATTCAAAATGTCCTCGCGACTTTTCTGAACCACATCATTCACGCTCGACGTGAGCGGTCGGTTGCGTGGTACAGAAGCTGCACGTCCTGTGCTGCTTATACCAGCACGACATCCCTTCTTCTTGGTTATTTTGTGTCCCTTGACCCATCGTTTTAGTCTCGGCATAAACGGCATGACACTCCATGTTTTCTTCGGCAGTCCATCAAAAGTAAACCATTGAATTGTACTAATTTCTTTACGTGTTTGCGGTGCAAATGCATAATCTTCTGGTACATCAGGGCAAATATACATCCGCATGCGTTGATCATTCGCTACAAACTCCAAATGTTGTTTCGGTTCAAGATGATTTCCCACATCATATCCACATTCTTCTGCAACTTCTCGTCGTGCACAATCCAAATCGGATTCTCCTTCATTTACTTTTCCTCTAGGAAATGTCCAGCTTGTTCCTTTCCAATTACGTACAAGTACAAGCTTTGTACGTTTTGAATTCAACAAGATACAGCCGACTACTGGCACTTGACGTTGATAGGTTTTAAAATCTTGAAATAAGTCATCACAACAATGTGCAAGTGGTTGTAAGAGAGGACAATGAGCAAACATTTGACGAGCAAAATCATTTAATTTGACATGTTGTAAATGGGCATATTGATCCGCATAAAAATCTTCATAGAACCAATAACATTGTTCAATCTGGAAAAAAAAGACGTTCACTAGAGACCAGTTCAGACTCAGGAAGATTTACAAGGAAACGACTTTGTAATTCGTCCAGTACTTCCGCAAGACTTGGTTTCTTTTCTAACGTCTTGAACGCCATTTGAGTACACTTTGATTCGGTAGTATTAATTGCGTCTTTCTACTCGTCAGACTAAAACTTGTATGGAGTTTGTCTTCTTTTTGTTTGTGTGAGGAAGTAGAAGAGATGGAATTGTAGGCTTAGTTGGAAGAGATAATGAATTGTAAGAAATGATAGAAGCTACTGGATCGTTTTGAAAAGGGTTTAGATACAATTACTATGCTATACCTCACTTGTATGAATACCAGTTACTCTATCAAGAAATTGCCGATACAAAACAAGAATGTTTTCTTCTTTTCCACGATTCGTACCGTTTCCGTCGCTCTGGCTTTTTTTTCTCTCAGACAAAACTGTCCTAGTCTATTTTTAGCGACATCAAATTACATACATAGCCATATTCTTTTGACTACCTGGTTGTATCAAGATATCAGACAGCACCAAAAAACTATAACTATAAATAGACTTGCAAAATTTCATGTATTTATTCCATTAAATCAAAGCTGATCAGATTATAACCAATCATATTACACTACAAAGCTCCTTCTCATCATTGGTTGAAATTACTCTAAATACAGCCAAGGTCAATTCTACTCGATTACGATGGACCAACATGCCGAAGCGCCTCGACGCAAGCGGAAGAGCAGGTTTAGCGATGCTCAACCAGATTCTGTAGCACCAGTAGACAAGAACCAGGCTGTGAATACTGCTGTGTCATCATTTTCATTGGATCCTGCAGCTTTGGCACGAGCTGCAGCAGCCAAGATCGCGCGGGCTATTCCCGGGTCCGCTGCTACAACAACTGCATCCATGTCAGCAGCCATAACAAGTGTGAAAGCGGTTTCGTTGGATTCTGAAGAAATGCGTCGGATTGAGCAGGAGAAAAGACGTAGAACAGACCAGATTTATAAGTCGGTGCAGAGCCAGATGAGCCACATTAAGGCGCTGTTGCGGAAGCCTGGAGCTCCTGCGGCAGGAGCTGTGGCAGCTGCACCTGCAGCAACGCAGCGTGATATATCTCTTAGCGGGAGTTTTATGCCAGCACCATTGCTTTTGGACGAACAGGGTCGAGAGATTGATGCCGCAGGGAACGTCGTTGCAGAGAAACCGATGGTGACATCCGTAGCCACGCTGAAGGCAAACCAAGGAGGAGTGAGAGGAGATGATGCTTCAAAGAAACGTCAGAATCCGTACTTATTACATCGCACGGTGGAAGAACAAGATAGGCTGGAGACAGTGGACCCGAGGCTAAAGACGACCAAACGAGAAACGTTCGTGACTAGATGAAAAAGTAGCTTGGTTGTGATATTGAGCGAGCTGACATTTCTCTTGCTTTATTTGTGTGTATGATGACGAGATGCAGCCGCGCTCGCAAGACATTTAACTTTGTTGCGCAAGGAACGTATGTGAAGCAGGCAGAACAAGTGCGCGCCCGTGACGCCAAGAAGATGATGGCTGGGTTTACGTCGGGGCGTAACCCGCGAGGATATCAAAAGGAATCGATTGTTTCTATTGATGATGATGCAAGCACCGTCTTGGAAGATGCTGACACGACTAGTAGAATGGAAATTGACAACATTGATATTCCACCTCAGCCAGAGACATGTACACCTGACATAGAGTGGTGGGATGTGGAATACCTTCCACAGAACAAGCGTGTTTTAGTGGACAAGTTTGGGTTTATTAAGGCTAATGTCCGTAAAGAGCATTCAGTTGTTACGGTATCATACGCTGATATGAAACTGAAATACTGTGGGACTGCACATGTTATTGAGCATCCTGTGCGTCTCAACCTGATTGTAAAGCACGACGACACACTCGTAGCTGTTCCGCTCATGCTCACTGGTGCAGTAAGTATTGCGTGCTGAACTGAATTGTTTGGTGAAGTATGTAACAATGCTAACATGTTTTGACAATGCAGGAGCGGAAGAAAATTCGGCGTCAAAACCGCGCTGATCGTGAAAAAGAGAAGCAAGACAAGATTGCACTAGGCTTGCTGCCGCCTCCTGAGCCCAAGGTGAAGCTGTCAAATATGATGCGCGTGCTGTCAGAGCAAGCCGTGGCCGACCCGTCGGCAATTGAGCGCCAGGTTCGCGAACAGATAGCGCAGCGTGAGAAAAATCATGAAATGCGCAACCTCGCGCGTAAGCTTACGCCCGAAGAGCGTCGGGAGAAAAAGCTTCGCAAGATCAAAAAAGATGCCGCTGGCGATATTCATGTGGCGCTCTTTAAGTACGTCACTGCTTTCTCTTAGTGCTTTCATGTTCCGCATACTCGACTAAATTTGGTTTTACTACGAAAAGGGTGCCGGATCTTTCGAACCCGCAGCATCGTTTTAAGGTCGATGTCAACGCGCAACAGTATCATCTCACGGGTGGTGTGCTACTTTGTAAAGATAGTAATATCAACATGGTGGTAGTGGAAGGAGGTAAGAAGGCTATCAAGCAGTATTCGAAGCTAATGATGCGACGCATCGACTGGAATGGGGACCGTGTGGCAGACGAGGAGTCAGATAGTGAAGATGAGGACTCGTCGAAGCACGGCAACGGGTGTCTGCTTGTCTGGCAGGGCGTCGTCGCTCGTAAGGCTTTCAACAACTTTCGTTTTCAGGAGTGTCGGACGTCTGTCACAGCGCGGAAGGTGATGGAGGCCAAAAACGTCGCACATTACTGGGATCTCGTGGAAAAGTCTGCAGGCACTTCAGCAATTACGCCTTGAGGGGAGAGGAATTGTTCGTTAATAAAAGAAGCAGACCTTGCTGTCAATAGCAAAGGTGTCATTGTATAGCGGGACAGAACCAGCGTTCGACAGTTCTCTATCGTCCTGGTTTTGCGATTGTGACGTTGAGGTAGCTGTCGCGTTGTTGCCCGCATCGCCACTTCGTCTTGACATGGTCTCTGCTCCTGATCATCCAGGAGACAATGTCTCTTTGACTGGTGATCCCGTATCAATTACGCGACACAATTGTTGAAGCTTAAGTAGCATTCGGACTGGAGCATGTAATCAAATGACCCTACAGAGATTTAAACTATTAGCATAGCAAGTTAGCATAGCAAGTTAGCATAGCAAGTTAGCATAGCAATTTTTTGCGTCAAAGTTGTGACTTTTACGATCTCGTTGCCACAGCATTAGCAAAGTCGATAGGACAACATGTCCACCAGCTACAACAATGACAAAGGTGTGCTTTTCTGTTCCTGCAGCGATCGCACTTATTCTATAGCCTAACAAACGTTACGTTTGACGCGGGAACCATCGACGTATTGCTTAGAAATTGCTACAACTATACGACCGCCTAAGAGATAGTCAGTACATCAAAAGTTTCTCGTCAGCCGGTCGTACTTTTCGGTGCACTACGTGCGTCCGGATAGACAGGTCTTAACGGCGAAATAATAAGGCAGCAATGACTGCTGTTGTTGAGGCTAACAGCCTCAAAGGTGGCCGCACAAATTTCATGTTGCCAGCGCAAACAATGGAATGTTGAGCAGCAAGTATAATTCGCGCCATCTGTGGCCGGGAATCGCACGTGCTTGTGCTGGTAATCGACACTAACGACCCCGGCAGGCTCGCAGTCTGTTCAGCGATGGGGATCGTCGAGCAATCATTGGATCTTGCTGTGCGGATGGTGCTTAACATTGTTTGGCTGCGATGTGCGCCGAGCTATGCCGGCCCTTTTTGAATTCCCTTCTCTCTCTCTCTTCCACGCTTGCTTCTGTGCCTTGTGCACTCATCAGTCAGTACAAGCGCTTGCCATCTGTAAGCAGCAAAAAACGGGGCTCAACAGTTGGAAGAGCACGAGACGAATGGAACCAGATGGAGAGAATGGTCGTGGAGTAGCATTTGTGCCGTGTTAAGCCCCATATCTGATCGCCGTGTAGCGAGCGCAAGTTGCGAAGCTGTCGTCGCCTGGGCGTGTGCCTATCCCGAACGCACGATGGCGGGGAAAAGGAGTGCAGTAGTTATGAACAAATACAAGAAAACAACACAAAAGCCTATCATTAAAAGTGCATCCAATGATCTACTATTGCTAATATATACATATAAATCATTCCTAAGGCAAAGAAATTATCAATCTTACGTCGCGTCCTCATTCAGACAAAAACAGCTACGGAACGTAGGGCAGAGGTTGGCAAAGGAATAAGGTCATGCTTGCCATTCGATGGGTTTCTACACTAGGATAAGGTTTCACTGAACCTGATTATCTTGTTTTTTGTATGAAAATCCAACTTTCGAGTCAAGAATAGGCAGAAGAGACAGGGTTGTGTCTGTGTGTTGCACTCTTTTGTAGTCCGTCGTCAAGCCTGATACGACTGCTTTTACCCAAAGTTCAGCTCTTGTGAGAAATTCTATCACTGTCCACTCGTGCCGTCGAGATCGAAAATCTTGGCGCATTGAGCACGTCACAACGCAACTTCGCTCGTATTCGAGATTAACAGTTTGGTTTTTTCGAGCTTCTCTCCTCATTGACGACTTTCTTAGCTTCGATCTCTCTCTCTCTCAGCCCTGTCATCTCTTCATTTTTCCATCTCTAGCCTTAGCAGATACAAGTTCATAGACGTTTCGATCGCACAATTACAATTATATTAACCAAGACAACGAGATACACTCACGATGACTGACATAGGACCTGCTGAGACTCCAAGCTACGGCAACCCAAACCGAATGCACGTCCTCGCCAATGGCGATATCGTTGACTGTGGACGTCTACCACAGACAGCTCGCAACAATCTTTATAAGACTGAACTTTGCAAGCACTATACGGAAAATGGAAGCTGTCGTTATGGCTCCAAGTGTCAGTTTGCACACGGTGAGGAGGAACTGCGTGGTGTACTGCGCCACCCCAAGTACAAAACCACTCGCTGCAAGGCCTATTTGTCTACGGGCAAGTGCATGTATGGTTCACGATGCCGCTTCATTCACACTCGACACCCTGGTGAAGAAGACCAGCGGTTTGTCAACTACGGCAGCAGCGACCTTTCGAGTACTGCAAGCGAGTCAGACGATCAGGAGACGCAGTCGAAGGATTTACTCGTGAACCCGTATGGCAATGGGCTGGAGCCGATCGACCTGTCCCAGCCGTTTGGCGGCTTCAATCAGCCAATGTCATTGGCACCCCTGTCTGGCCTGTCGCCGCCTAAGCCGGAGTTTGATTCCTACCTAAGCCAGCACTCGTTCCTCGATTATTCGTTCCAAAGCAGCGACCTTGGAAATTTTGACTTGCGCAGCAGCATTTCAAGTTGCTGCAGTGCCGAGGCGTTGAATGCAGTCTCACCGCGGTCTGCGAGCAGCACGGAGTCTGCGACATCCAAGTTTTCTCGTTTGACGATATTCCAGCGCATTTGTCGCGAGAACGAGTAAAAAGAGGTTTGTCTCCAGCTAGCTCTGTCTTTCTCCCCGCATCATCATAATTTATCAGAAGATCAAGTGCATACAAACGAAGAGACGCGGCGTGACTCAAGACAAGACAAGTAAGAAAAAAAAGTCCTGGCTCACGACGTCAACGCTAGCTGGCAATGCGAGCTCTGAAGATTTTTTTTCCAATCTGGATACGAAGAGAGAAGATATGTGTATAACTGCCGTCGATGGATTGACGCAGCAGCCTCGTTTTCACTTCCAGTCTGTAGTATTTTACAAAAAAAAAAAACAATTTATTGCCCCCATTTCCCACTTAGAATTTGCCCAAGCTTTTGATTGTATACGACGTCGTAGAATTTAATTAAAGTTTCAATGTGTCAACAAAAGATCAAGAGCATTTTGTCGTTGCTCTGTATCATTCGACGAAAGCAGACTGAAAAATTCAGATGCTCAAGTCTTCAATTCGTCTAGTAATAATAATAATGACTGATGAGTCCATAGTACGGTTTCAATAGACTGATGATGCTTCGGATTGGTAATAATTCCGTTTCAATGTCCTTGTATTAGTGGTCATACATATTCATTCCATGGCAAACCGATTGATACTGAAGGACGGTTGCCATAACAAATAGAAACACACAAGAAAAAGCCACATATCTTAACTGAGTATAAAAGCATCTACTCGGTGATACCTATGTCTACTAAAGCGCTTATCATCACGTGGATCAGCATGTGTGTGATCCTGGTGAGACTTTATAATATGGAACTGCTATCACATTGGCTTGAATAACCTTATGCATTGACATTGTCTTGGTAGTTGTACAGCAATTCAACGCTCTGGATCGTCGTGGCTTCTTCAATGGTATATAATCATCTAGCAATTGCATTTTTACCGTTTTGCATATGGTTTTGGGCATAGTGTTCATGTTACAGATGCTGTTGGATCTCAGGCTTTTGCGACGATTCGGGTAGTGATTGTCCCGCTTGCTTTATCCAAGGTGAAGTCGTTTCCTGCCTTGTCGACGTTCAGCCAACTTTTGTGCAGCAATACAGCAGTATCAATACTGCATTCGGCACTATCGTCGGCGCTTGCAATTTTTGCACTGCTTACGTCACACTCACTACATGGCGATTACGTAAATACTGTCACGAGAAGCGAATTCGTCGCCACCTCTGTTTCAACGGGTAAGAAGATGGGTGTGATTGGAAGCTCTATATTACATGGACTTGATATTGACGTATGAGTATTTTGACAGGATACTTTGCGTATGACTTGTGGGATTACGTGGTGAACGGTCTTTACATCAAGTCTCCAGGCATCGTTCTACACCACGTAGTGGTGCTCAGCTGCTACATTTCTGCGCTCACCAGAAAGGTTGGCGTACCACTGCTGTCACTCGCACTTGTCTGCGAGCTGCATTCAGTGTTCATGCACACCCGGAAACTATTGACGATGAGCAATTACTCTGTGCGACAGTCTTCATTATTACGATGGGTCTGGCGCGCGCAGTGGACATCTTTCGCCTTGGTTCGGTTCTTGCCTCACGTGATCGTTGCCGTGCTGACATATCAAGCAAGACGTCTATTTGAGCACCAGGTATGACACTCCATTACTCGCTTTGCACTGGCATACATGTCTATGGTTCTAGCCGTTTGTGGCTAACATTGTTTTACAGCTGTATTTTGTCATGGCGTTCAGTGGAATCATATTCATTAACGTGCTTAATGCTCAGGTACGTCTACTGTGCGCCATTATTTCTGATACCAATTATTTCATACTGACCAATTATATTATATCACGAACATTGCTTGTATGTCCGTGATCAGCTTCTCCTCCATGTTTGCAATGCTTATCAAAAGGACTATTCTACTTTACTCATTTCGTCGTCTTCCATTACGAAATCGTCCTGATGTGATTGGGCTGGTAGTCAATAACTGGTAGTCAAATTTATGAAAGCATGAACTTCAATATGAATTTTGGTCGAACTAAATCATTTTTGGTCTGTTTCATTTGCGCAAACAGTTATAGAGCGATTGATTGCATCACGAAGAAGCAAACGCACTTAACAACTGTCGTGAAAGGACGCTGGTAACGCGTCGACACGTGCTATCATGACGATGAAAAGTGTCAATAAGGATACAGAGTGGTTTTCCCCCGAAGAATTGGCTGATGCACGTGAGGAATATCTACAAGAACAAGAAAAAGAACAGCCGTCACCTCAGGTACCAAATCATATTTACATACATTCTGCTTCCACCAATGCAGTGCGGTATGTCTTTTTTATGATCATTTGAGGTAAAGAATGTATTTGGTGCTATTGTTGTGTTGCGGAATGAAGGTCAAAATGCGATATGCTATTGCATTGGCAAAAAGTCACAAGCGTGATGACAAATATCGTGCAATTGGATTACTAGAAGGTCACAAATCAAGTTGTAATGTAACAAATGGACTACTCTGATATTTAGTATGAATCAAAATGTGGTATTAGATCTATTGGAACAAACTTATGCTCCCAAGGAAAGTTTATATTGGATTGCATTGACGTTATGTGGACTAGGCGAGTATCGTGCTAGTCGCACGTACTGCGAACGTTTGCTCCAGATTGAACCATCACACATGAAAGCTCAATTACTACACGAAAGGATCAAAGAGGTTGTTGCAAAAGGTTGGTGGTCTTGTATGAATTTGATATAGTAGTATTCTTATTCTTATGATAGAAATTATTAGTAATGTACTTGTCGTCTATACAATGCATTTATGGGATGTTGGTCAATAGAAGATGGAGTGGTAGGCGTGGGTATTGTTGGTGCAGTGGTCGTGGCAGGCCTGGCACTCAAGTTTTTGTTTAAAAGATAAGGTGTGGATTGTGTGGTTTCAATAAGTACGTAATGTGATGTAGATCTTTTTTGTTCGAGTAATATGAGCTTGTACAACTGAGAACTGCAACGAAACATGCTGCTGATTATCGATTTCTTTACAAGTTTGTAAGTCTTACAACTTGATGGACAAATGAAGACGACATGGAGATGTAGGTCACAGGATCAAACATTTACCATCAAGTACGGAACAGAATCATATATGCTGCTCAAGTAACAGCGTTTGAGAGTGCATCGATGAAGGCGACACAGCAACCACTACTACTTGTAGCTTGCACACGCGACAAAACTAATTACTATATATCGTTTTCGTACTTCTATCAATCGCTGTCTAACGTTTACCCAGACATGTTACAGCTGAGACAGAGCCTGCTGCTCATCACCGCTAAGTTTCGACCAGGCATTCTGCACCACTGAAACAGGCAGCTGAGATTGCAACTTGACCAGCAATTCACGGAGTTTCGGCTTTGACTCCTCTGAAATAGTCGACACCTCCTCGTCCTCTGCGGCGTCCTCCTCCGCCGCCATGTCGAATACTGCGCATTCGTAGAGACAAACAAAAGACAACACCAGTTAAATGCAGTCCCCTCATATAGACAAAACATCGGACACAGTTGCAACTTACGAAGTGCTGATGCGAACACCTTCAGGATCTGGACGAGGTTAGAGTAATTGGCGCCAAGCACATGAGCATTGCCGCTGCTCACCAATGAAATTAGTCGAGCATGCACCTCCTGCGCTTCAAGCACATCCGTACGAAGTGGCAGCCAGCTGAGCCACATGGGCCACATTTTGGCAGCGTCTACAGCACCTTCGCGAGCCAAACAGATCTTGGCCACAGCGCTAATAGCGTTGTCACACGCCGCACCAACTTCGTCATCATCCACGTTCGTTGAGACGTTAATCAAGTGCACCATCTTCTCAAGCGCATTCTGACAGAAGGGATCGAAGGCAGCGCCACACTTCTCAGCACTGACACCAATACCGTAAGCTGACGCTTGGATTACTGACGGACTCTGATCCTCAAGACCCTGAACAAGGTGGTTCAGAAACAGTGGCAGCAGCTCCTGGGCAGAAGTATCGCAGTGCTCAATGATATCATCAATCATGCAGATAGCCTGACCGCGCAGCATCGACACCGTCTTCTGTTCCAATAGCGGCGTCACGAATGTCAACAAGTGCGCCTTGAACACAGGGAAAAACGCTTCCTTCTGAACCTTCACGATCCAGCCGATCGAGTCAATCATCGACCGAAAGATGCCTTCTTCAAGCTCATCGTTCTCGGTCTGTTGTCGAGCAGACTCAGCGTCATAATCTTCATCCTGTTGGTTCTCGTGGTGTTGCTTCATTAAACGCTGGGCACTGTTGGACGCCACGGTCTTAAAAATCTCCACTATGCGCGGGACGTGCTCTAAAGGAATACCAACCTGATAACCCTTTTTTTTGGCTTTCTTTGCACACTTCCAGGACCGCCGACATGGCCTCAGCAAACGCGCCAAGACACTCCAGATCCTCTTCTTCTTGTAGACTCTTCAGCATTGGCTCGAAGAACTTCTCAAAAAGCTGCTGCGGGAACTGCGGCGCTGTCGCGCCATAGCCGTGGTGCATCGTGCCCTCCACAGCGCAGTTCAGCAGCTTAGCCATGGTCAAACTGCTCACAATACGAATGTCTTCGACATACTCGAAGTCAATCAGCGGGATCATTACCTGTGCCACCTCGGCTACGTACGGGTAGAACCAACCCTCCAGATCAAGCGCCGATTGGTAAAGCATATTGCACGCATTTGTCTTGTCTTCGAGAGCACTCGTATTGATTTCCAGGCGCTTCTTTCCCACGCCACGAATCTGCAGCGTCATGGTGTCCGTGCCATCGACAGTCTGACCATCCTCCTCGACATCGTCATCAGTGACATCCGACAGCTGAATGTCTGGCTGAATCTGCGCCTGCTTGATAAGCGCCGGGATCACGTGAGGCAAATATGGGACAAAATCCTCTTTCAGGATACTGCCAATACGCACGCACGATTGCGCCACATACTGCACCACTGGGCCTTCCATCTCCTCACTGGACTGCACACGCACTAAAATCTCCATGATCTCCTTGGCATCATTTACAAAACGCTCCTTGCCCACAGCTTGACCGATGAGAGCAATTGACTCCATGGATTTGCCACGAAGCAGAGCGTACTCCTTGCCATGGGCGTTCGTCAGCACCTCCTTCGCAAGCGGGATGAAAATATCGTAAAAGCGGAGAAACTCATCACCAATTACCTTGGCCACGCTCGCAACAGCAGTGATAGCCTGTTCCTGCACCTGGCGTGGACACGAGCGCATCGTATTAAAGAGAGCCTCGAGCAAAGCTTGGCTGTACGGAATCACGTACTTGGCCTTACATACGTTCGTGTTGCAAAAGTTGATAACCACACTGGCAGCCAGAGCACGGGTACGCAGCACACCTTGCTCATTCTGAACCAACGCCGTAAGCGCCGGTATCACCATTGTGTGAAATTTTGCCTGAAAGTTTTTTCCCTTCTCCACCTCACCAAAGTCCTCGGCAATCTGTCCAAGACTGTGCAGCGCAGCGTACTGCACACGCGGGTGTTGATCGTTCAGAAAAGGCAAAACCATTCCCACTACATTATCAAGCTCACGGGTCATGAGCGACTTCGCACCCTCACCTAGCAGGCAGATAGCATATAGGCCAGCGCGACGTTTGCGCCAGTCGGCATCACCGAGAAAATCCTTAATGACCGGGATGGCTACAGGTAGCACAGCGTTGCCACCAAGAGACGTGCTCAGACGATCAATTGCCGCGGCACCAGCGTCACTGATCGAGTTGTCGGCGTCATTGGCCTCAGCGAAGGTCTCCGGATCGTCAAATTTCTGCACCCACGTCTCGTCCTCCTCAACCTCGCACATCAGCCGAATAACTAAAAGCACCACGTTCGTGACGATGAACTGCGATTTGCGTACCATGCCACCAGCATTTTCACACAGCTCAATGACGAACTCCAAAGCAAGCTCACGAGTCTCCGAGTCAAGCTCTTGTGACGAGCACACAGAGATCATGGCACGGGCCACGTCGTCCAGAGAGTTGCGGAAAAATTTGGGGTGTACTTCAGCAATCTGCACAAGAGCCGACAGTACCTCACGAAAAGCAATTTCGTCTCCAGCATTCACCAGCACTTCAATGATACGCAACATAGGGGCCACAATAATGGCAAACGCCAATAATTCCTGCTTGTCCTCGAGCGTCAGCAGGAAAGCTGATGCAGCCTTGAGGCTGGCAATCTGCACTTCTCCGTTTGCATCGTTGAGCGAGTTGGTAAAAAGCGTAAGGAAGCTTTCTTTATGCGGAACTAGCAGGTCACTCACGTACTCGGCTAGCTTGGCCAGCAAGTCGAAGGCTGTCACGCGTAACAGTGCGTCAGCATTTGTGGTAAGAGCTGATACGACATTCAGCAGCTCGGGCCACGCTTGCTCGTACTTCTCCGAGACAACAGCCAGTTCAGCAATCAAGTGGCCAAGTTTGCGGCGAACGTGAGCTATGGGCTCGGTGACCAGGGCCTCTAATAGTTGCACCTTAAGAATTGCCTGTGCATCCGTATCCAAGCGCGTGTACACGCCAGTCTTAGCCTCTAGTAGCTGACGCAATAGCACGGGAGCAAAAGCACGCGCTTCCGGATCAGAGGCCGTGCGTAGTAGTTGCACGAGGTTGATCACAAGAGCCTGTGGTTGTTCCGCCTTGAAGGCCTCATACGACGCCTCTGCCTGCTTACGTGTTGCATTATCGTTGCTCACAAGAGCAGCCACTAGCGCCAAGAAGTCCATGATAAGGTCGTGTGTGCAAAGAGGAACTAGATTACTGTCTGGCTCAGTAGCGACTTTAGTAGTGACGGGCACATGGCAGCCAGCCAAAATCGACCAGCTGTTTCACGAAATGGCTACGAAAAGGTGACGCAACGTAAGACTTGTGTGCTGAATAAAATTTGTAAGTTATTTATTCAGGGGTGTATACACCTATACGTATACGTCGTAGCTCTAAAATAAAGCAAATGTATTTGTTTTTCCGTTTCAAGCCTGTACTTTCTCTCACTTTACAAAACCGTGTAAAAACAATGCGCTTCAATTTATGTGTCTATCTCATATTCCAAGCACGTTCCGAGTCTTTTGCGTTGTCCAATTCAGAGCAAAAAGACGTTTGGACCCAGAATTAGCAGCACTTAATTCTTGTCGTTCATTGTGTCCGATCAGGTTTGTCCCCTTCTTCTGCCATTGCGTTGCTCAAAGACGAGCACACACCCTCTTCTACTTCCTCTTCTCCTAGCTGTAGTTCCATCACTTGACCCACTGACATTACCTCGGTAAGTGCAACGTCCAGATCCAATTGCGGTGTGATGCCCGAGCCAGTGGCAATGATGCGTCTTTCATCTGCGACGGAGGTGACAATCCGTCTTTTACCTGGCAACGACGTATGTTTGTTTTCCATTATTGTGATTATACTATTAAGAGCTTGTAGTGATGCTAACGTTCCGGGTATTTCCAGCGCTGTGCCGATTGCAAGGCTATCTTTCCTCAATGGGCAGGCGTCTCCTTTGGCATCTTGCTGTGTCTGACCTGTGCCGGAAAACACCGATCGTTGGGTGTAAAGACGAGCTTTGTTAAGTCACTGGAAATGGATGCGTGGTCAGCGAGTGAGGTGCGTGCACTGGAACTGGGTGGCAATGCCAAATGGTCCGCTGTGTGTGCTGGAGCCGGAGTTGCCGACCTTTCGATGTTGGAAAGGTACTCGTCCAGCGTGGCAAAAGCTTACAAGAGTCGAGTTGCACTAGCTGCAGTAAAGGATTCATCCGTTGCGTGCTTACTTACTGCGACGTCATTTTTGACGATGCTTGCTAATATTTCGCCACTTAGTGATGAGAACTCTTTGCTGACGAAGAGCTGTACTTTGTCAGCGATGCCAGCTACGAAGGCAGAATATCTGAGTGATCATGTTGACAACACGACTGTCAAATGCACAATGTGCTGCATAATGGTTTCGTTGAACAATCTGAATGCGCATTCAAAATTGTGTTTCGTCAGCGCATCGGTAGGTGTTATGGATCTTGAATTTATGCGCTACAGAGAACTTATGTTGTTGTCTACCTCTTGCTGTGTCTTGTATTCTCAGCGAACGGTGGGATGGAGAATGTATGAACAAAAGATTGGAGCTCCTGGTGAGCCATTAGGCTTCACCGTGGCGAAGGCTAGTAGTGGCTATGCAGAAGTGTGTCGAGTCATTCCAGGTGGTGCTGCAGAACGAGCAAACGTAATTGTTGGTAGCTTGCTGATCGGCCTCAACGACGAGAAGAACTTGAAATTTAACGAGGTTGTTGGTATGCTCCCAACATTGCCGCGGCCAATATTGTTCCACTTCGTCTTCCGCTCTCAGGCTGCATTTGAAGGACCAAAGACGGTGGTTTTATCCGTCCCGGAACCCAGAGTTGTCGAAATTAATATAACACTGCATGATAAGGAGGAGCTCGGCTGCTCATTGTCTACGACTGGTTTTTACTGCGTCGTACGTAGCGTTGATGAAGAGTGTATTGCAAGAAGGCATGGTGTTTTGGTTGGTTCACGGGTGGTTGCCGTGAATGGACAGAAGTACTTGAAGCCAACGGATTATGTCCGTGAAATCTGTACAGCCCAGCGTCCGATCAAGATAACAGTGCATCGTGTGGAAGGTCTTATGAGAGGATGGAGCAGTTAAGAGGTGGCTAGAGTTGTTGGACAACGTTATGGATTGAAGTGAACGCTTATGACGTTTGACGACTTCGAAAGTGTTTTGAAGTCATTCAGGGACTTCTCTCTTATCGTATTTAGATAGATCGTATTAATAATAGAAATTGTATGTCATGTATTTACGCTGGTACTAGCACGTCATGCGATCGAAGTTCTTCCTCTAATGGAATATGCAAACACCCTCTCTGCCTAAATGTCCGGAATTGCTTGGCCCCTTCGATACAGACTGCTATAGTAACTAACAACATAGTCTGGTGGCGTTTCTTTTTCCTTGGAAGGCGACACCCGAAAACTGGAAAATATTGGGTGATACATCACTTGCTTGAGTGTGGGACGCTTTGCAGGATCGAAATCCACCATCCTATTCAGTAAGTCCATTGCTCCCGGAATCGTCTGCAGTCCTTCGCGGCATCGACGAATAACATTATTGGAACCTCTGGCAACAGAGTACAACGACTGATCATAGTCAAATTGACTCTTCGTCGATTTAGCGTGTCGTTCAGCCACACCCGCGCCTCTCGTTCGTCTGGGTCGTCGCTGGGGATGACTAAGCGCTGGATCATCTGGTCGTAAATGTTTCAGCAACAGTTGCCATACCTTGTCAATTCCATTTCTTTCGTTTGGGTTTTGCATCGGTAGCCCAAAGAGCACAACAAATCGATAGAGACTGTGGCAGAGCGTATTTTCATCATCACCGCGCGCCACGCTTTTAATCACAGAAAATCCTGAATTCTTCCGTGGGCTCTTTACATTACATTCCGGTGAAGCATTCAAACCCAGGTCACATCATTAAACGACTAAACGCTTTGCTTTTATCATAAAATACGTACCATCCAAATGAACTTGAGGTCCTTCAGAAGTTCTGCAGGGCAAGTCACGTGTTCCAAAAATCTCTTCGTATGGTGCGCTATGCACAAAAACCAGCAAACAGGTCAAGAGAGCACGAAATGCGACAGTAGATCGAGGCAAAATATGACATACCATCCAGTAAACAAGTGTAGCACGCAGAGGCCCAAACAAAATGTGTCTGCTGCATAGGACTGCTTGGCTGCGTCACCTTCTAGCAAGAACTCGACCGGTGTATTTTCTAGGGTAGTGAACTGATCAATTGTGACTGGACTTCCCAAGTTTTCCGGGTTTGAGTCAGCCGCACCAAAATCAGCCAATTTTACCCAGTACGAAAAGGAGGCGGGCATTTGAAAAACAAAGCAAACATCTTCCAGCAAATAATGCAATACGATATTAGATCCTGGGTCCTTGCGGAGATCAGCACGACCAATGTCCTTCAGAAAGAAGTTGAGAAGCTGTGTTCATTCAGCAAAAAACACGTTAGCTTACAACTTCAATTACAGGATGCAGGTAACATACCTTAATATCACAGTGTCGCAAGTTAAACTTTTCTCGAGCACAGTACAGACTATACACCATTTGAAAGAAAAATGGCACGGATACAGTTGCGAGAGGTAGCGTCTTATTCCTTTGTAGTCCGATAAAATCTTCTAAATCACCACCATCACAAAACTCCATCCGAATATATTGGAACAATCGGTTACATTCGTCGCTTGAGGATACCAATGGATCCTCCTGGCAGATGAAAGCGCCAGGGTTATGGTTTGTCTCTGTCAACAACTCAGCCGGCTTGCGATTTGTTTTGCTACCCCAAAGATCAGAGCGGGGTTGCTCATACGCAAGAAAAACATCGTAAATCCGGAGGAAATTTGGACACATGCCTTGCTCAGTAGCGTGCGATAGCAGTACCGAGTGGGCCACCTCTTGACAAACGACACTCTACGACAATAACAAATACCAAATGAGTCCATGCAAATACGTCACATCCTTTTCAAATACTTGTACGCTTACCTGGTTACCGGCAGCTTCAATTGCGCTAATATCCATCACGCTGATAGCCTCTAGCCGACACTTTTGTGACGAAAACACCTTGAAGACTTCTTTATAAGCACCATTCGCAAGATAATGACCGTGCGGGTGGCAATAGTACATATACGCCGTCGAGTAGACGTTTGCTTTCCTACATTAGCACGATTGACAACATCGCGATATAAGCTTAAAGCGTAGCATCACAGACACTTCACCGATAGTTTCTACGTACTTGGAGTAGTCCGCGATAAGCCAAGCGTATGCTCTGTTTGCAATACATCATACGGTCTGAATTAGCGGTTTGGATGAACCTCGTAAACATGCTCCAAACGTACACTGTAGATACCTTGCGCAGCACTTCCTTGAATACCTTCACATCTATCAAACCTGAGTCAAGTACAAGATACAACACACGTTCTCCCTCCACCTTCGTCTTCTCGGCTACTCCGTTGTCACCAAGCGAAACGTGACGCTTGATTGGTGTCCGTGCCCTTGTTTCCATTTTTCGATCCCAGAGCCAATCGTCTTCAACAAGTGGAAGAAAAGAGGAAGACGATGGCGCCAGTGCAATAGAAGACAAACGCCGGTCTGATATTCTTCCCAACTTAGATAACCGTCTGGCAAGACGACGGTCACGACGAGTCGAAGGCTGTGCCAGTACGTCTTCCATTGCATCAGCAATTGCCGTGTGCTGTGTCGATGATAATAGTCGGTGGTTTTCCTCAAATGATACGACCTCAAGTTTCTGTGATTCCAGTTTTTGATAGTATTGTTTGAGCCGAATCATCATTGCCATATCTGTGGCGTCATCTCCAGTCGATTTTTCTTCTTCTTCTTGTTCATTATTCAATAATGTATCGCCTTTACTCATCAACTCCTTTACCACATTTGAGTCTTCTACTTCTTCTGCTTTCTCTATGTCCCATTTCCTACATTAATTCACACATAAAACAATAAGTATAAACAATAAGAAAAGAAAAACTGCCTACTAAAATGTTTGTCTCTTGGACGTACTCGGCCATAGACGACATTCTCCGCTTTAACTCATTGATAATCACATCTGCCTTGAGACTAGAAATACGCAAAGCATTTTGTTTCAATGCAGTACCGGATGTAAAACCCAATTCTTTGATCCAATTCTCATACTCCTTCCGCTTCTTCTTCGAGCTAGGCAATGGTAGCGTTACAATATACCCCTGTCCTCGACCATATTCTTTCTCGAGTTTCTCTTGATGAATTACACTCATCTGATCATTTAAATACGTGACCAAATCTCTTGGTGCGTCTTGTACAAGTTTGTGAATACTTTTTGTCTCGAATAGTGCGGAAGATTCGGATTTTAGCTTTTTTGTCGTTGGCAAGATCGATTTCTTTACCTTGCGCTTCCTACGTGTCCTTTTCAATGCAGGAGACGAAGTTGATTCTGGAAAGGAGAAAGAACGTCGTCCTGTGTCTTCTGCCTCATCCACTGATGACAATGGTGACCCGCACACGCCGCGCACTTTTGTCATGATTTCTATGAATTGTGGACGATGAACAGAGTGGTGGTCAGAAGGGAAACACAAATTTTAACCAATCATTGTTGATTAAACGATTAAACGCATAACAATTGGCTCATTTATAATAAAGCAGACGGCATGGAACAGATCGAAAAAGGAAGTTACATAGCACTACCAGACTTTTGTATGACGAATGCTTGATGTATTATGCAGTGAATTAGGTATAGACAATGGAGTTTGAGTTTACACTGTATGAGACAGATAGAACATGGTCAAGTCCAAGCTGAGTACCATGTATACTAGAATACAACGTGCGTAGTCTACCTCATAAGTCATGGATACAGAGATATGTTATCTATTATTCAGAAGGGATTGAACCGTAGTGCTGAGACAAAAGACAGTGATGAAACAAGCAGTAGTAGCTACACTAGTTCCATGAACTTTTGCTTGATCCACTACTTGTTACCTTTGCATTGCAATCACGATCGTATCGGATGAAGACACCAAAGCTAAAAAGACCACTACTACGTCTGCAAAGCTTTGACAATACGGTCCGTAATGGAAGAGTCAAGAGTAAAACGATGGAGTTAATACCGGTCATGTAAAGGGAAGACGAAAATGAGGAGCATGTGTTGACACGAGTGATGGGATTTTCCACCAGGACAGTGAACTAACTATCAGTAATGCTGAGGTCAACTAACGACACGGACTTGAGATAGCTGGGATTGAGTACACATAAGCGGTATCTGTAGCTGATTAATCACTTGTCATGCGTGCAAAGCCCGTGCACAACTACTGGAGCAAGCTGTGTTGCGGCGAAAGGTCAGACGCCTCACAACGCTCAATATTGAACGCTGATTTGGCTAGCCGTGCGGCCGTGAAAGGTATTAAGCTGAGCCTATGGAAGGTAGGTCAACTGCCTGTGAAACGTTATTGATATGTTATGGTAACGAATGCTTAAGCCAGAAAGTTGATAAAATGTCGGCGTTTATTGCACTTAAATAGGAAATTAATTCTTAAACGGCTCGTTGTAATTCTACAAGCTGTATGCTTTGAAATGAAGTGGTGGTTGCTTTTGTTCAATGGTGACACATCTCGTCTTCCAGGACCTGGAGTGGAAGAGTATGTCCAGCGCATTGTGGTCTTATCGTTTTGCACGCCTACTTTCTGGCGTACTGGTTGTCCGATACACTGCGTGGTCGGTAATTTCGTCTAAGCCTGGACGGGGAACGTACGCTGCGAAAGCAGGACGATTAACTCGAGCTTGGAGACTGGAGAAACATCGATCGGGCTGCGATCCACGGTAGGGTCAGCACTGCCAATGATCTCAGGAGCCATAGCGAACGATACGCCCTTGCGTGCTCTCCGAGGAGGCTTGGCCATCATATTCTTGTTCACCCAGGTGCAATCGCGTGGCCGTTCTTGCTTGGCGTACAGAGCACGCAGGCATTCCTGGCGATAGTATTCGGTGAGGCATGCCTCCATTTCCGATGCGCAACGTTTGCCCAGCATTGTTTCAGTAGAGTGCAGCTTCTGACAGTTAGAACAGCAAATGGGACGTTGGTGGCAAAATGAAAACTGGGAGTATTTCAATCACTGCTAAGGTTGCATCACAAAGTGGAGCAGCCATGTGCCAGCAGTTCTCGTCGCTTGTGGTACATACGGACTCTGCGTTTCCAGCAGGTCTCGGCGAACGTGCGCAGACTAGACTGGTCGCATTACTCGCTCTGATGACCGTTGAATCGACCGTCTTATCAACCTATTTGATCTTACTATAGATTATCATCGATAAACGCCTGAAAGTCTAACGGTTGTTTCGGAACCAGGCTGTGTTTTCGTGGTCTACATTGACAGTAAATCTCACGTTATTTTCATAGTAAGCACGTGGGCTCTCTTGTTCATCGCAGTCCATAAACTTCACTGACGTATGTATGGGGTAAGACACCTCGCAAGGGCTCCTGGAACTAGGATAAATTGGATACATGCGCTCTAAACATGACGCATAGGAATGCATTGCATAGGCGCTTTTTTTTGTTGCTGACGAAAGCCAGATAACTACGTGTAAGGTCTACTGATCAACGTCCGAACGCAAGCGTCTGCTGTCCAGTATGGAACATGTCGATCACGTTCCTCTGATTCTATCGTATTTGGACTTTATTTGCTTTTCAATGCGCCTGTGCATTGAAGAAGTTCTAGCGTCAGATAAGTTTTAACGACAGCATTTTCCTTCCAGTGGTAGATATTGCGGCATTTTTTTCAACATTTTAGAAGCACCAGCACGAAGATTGCATCTTCAGCATTACATGAGAGATCGGGAGATAAAAAGTGGGTAAAGTTGAGACGCTCGGTTGTCTCGTAACTTGGATTTCGTCGAAAGAAGACACGAGATAATTTATCTCAGAAAACGCTTTCATGATATTCAGGGATTTGTACACTTACAGCTACGGTAATATTGTACATATCCAGTGCTTTTGGTAACGTTGAACACATCATAGCATCGCAGGGCCATTGCTAGCAGCTCTTGTTAGTTATCTTTGTGTCATTTTGTACAGCAAAAAGTGCAAGGTTATCCACGACAGAAGGAAATCACGAAAGTGTTGAGCTGCTCCGTCTCGATTTCTCGGCGCTTTGCTGTCGCACTGTCGTCTCTAAATACTGCAGGAAGTTTGATCTTCAGCTTTGTAAAAACTGCGAGATCGAGTATTACAAACGGGGCTAACTTTTACTGTCTCGCGTAACATGATACTTGCTCAAGAGCTTGCTCCAAGTGGAACGGGCGAAGCCATGTTGATCCTGGTAGCACCAGCTGGTCCATGATGAATACGCGTAGGAGCTTGGCAGTATGCGTAAGAAGAAGAAGACGACATTTTTTCCACGCGGTGCTGTGCGGCACAAACAGCTTGAAAGCTTCTCAAATCCGCCTGTTTGTTGAACAGGCAGCTCTTTAAACGGCTTACAACTTTGAGACAGGTCCTGTAGCATGGGCTTGATGCGTTTTTTTGGCCGTCTTGGATACGGTTTGTATTGTTGTATTGTTGCAGGAATGATCGATGCCGTAATGGTGAAGTTCGAGAAAACCGTCAAGTGCGTTGTCTACCCCTACGAGACTTGTCACCAACCGCTGATGTTGATTCAGCGACTGCGTAATGCGACTTGCAGATTTGTATGCCTTAGTTTTTTTTGGTGACCCGCAAAGTGTTTGGAGGTGGGTTGTATTCTTGCATGATACGAAGACTCGTCACAGATTCCAGACCTTCTAACAATGCATCGATCCGGTTTGGCTCTGTAGATAAATCTTTTACCTTAAGCTTACTGGAGACAGTGATATCGACTCATCGATACATTCACACTGATCTATCATGCTTACGGCTACGGTAATGTACTCGGTCTGAAAGCTTCATGTAAAATGCGGTCGGGCTTTTTGAGCTGCATTGAACGACAAGACAAAGTTTGCATCACCCAAGCATTTGGTTTTCCACTGATGGTGGCAACTAGTGCCGACGTGAGGAGCAATTTGCTGCTAATTTTTCAGCATAGGGTTTCTACAAGCAATTGAGAACGAACAGCACGAAGGGCTCAAACACCTGTTCGAATCGATGGTACTTTAGATAAACGCCAATCTCATATTGTAGTAGTCACCCTCTGCAACAGTACGCGATACCTGAAAAATTGTTTTGTTGGTTAGAGTTGCTGTGAAAAATGCATATTGGATAGTAATTAGCCGCTAGTCGGAGTTCCAGCATGAGGAGGCTTTCCGTCATTAGCTTCGGTGTAAGGGAAATGAAGATTCTGTCATTGCGTGAGAAGTAGCCTGCTTTGCGCTTTTTGTACTTGTCTGAAGCTCGAGAGATGTACCAAAAGACGTCTTGCTCTCAGAGAGTAGTGGATCTTCGTCGGAAAACATGTATGCTGAACAAAAGCATATAACGTCGATAAGCACTTAGACCGAATGACGACAATGGTGGTGGTACTAGAAGGAATCAAGAAGATATTGTCCACTGTAGACTTACCTCCGCTACAAGACCCGATTTGGTCCGTGCAGCTTTGGCGTTCCTGCCTGGCCACGCGCAAGTTGGTCTCGTTTGTGATCTTGGACTGCAAAATCTCCTCTACAATGTCCTCAAGCGTTACTAAACCCTTGAGTTCGTAGAACGGATCACTCTGACAAATAAATACACATGTACATGATGAGGTAAACAGTGTGTCTTACTCAGATCTCATGGTAAGCTTACCGGTCCCGTGTTATTGACATCATAAACAAGTGCCATGTGGGTGCTGCCCATTTTGAAGACGCTCAGCACCTCACCCAGTTTTGCGTCGAGCCAGATACGATGCGCTGCGACAGCAAAAACACGCGCAAATGCCATCAGTGGCACTTCTTGGTTCGGGTCCACGTATATCAAGTCCTTGGTAAAGATAATTCCAACCACGTCGTTCAGATCCTTATTCCACACGGGAATGCGGCTATATCCTTGATTGTAGATCAGCTTGAGCACGTCTAAATTGAGTATTGTACTAGCGTACACAAACAGACATGACAAACACGATAACAACAACAACAACGTCATACAGTTAAGGAATCTAGCAAGCAAGCATTGGCCAACCATAACACATCGCCACAAAACAAAACTGCTAACGTGGAAAAAAGGATATCGGAAGTGAAAAGAGTTTGTCGACTGGGATCATAATGTCACTGACGACCTTGTTCTTGTAGCTCATTGCACCGCGTACGATATGTCCCTCATCAGGGTGCATAACCTTTTGTCTTACATGAATATCCACAAGTTGTTGCAACTCTCGTTTGGTAAATACCGTGCCCACATCTTCTCCAACTGTACGGTCAAGCGCATAGCTCACGGGTTTGGCAAAAGGATACAGCACTAGTCTTAGCACTTTAACAAGCGGTACAAATCTTGATCCAATTGACAATGCGTGTCTCGAACAGAGCGATTGAGGCACAATTTCTCCAAATATAAGGATTAGAATTGTCGAAGCAAAGAAGCTCACGAGAGCACTAGTCATATCCGCAATTAGAATTGACAACAAACTATTGACAGCAACCGTTGTGAGCACGAGCGTTGTAAGTAGTAAATTACTATCAGCACGAACGGGTAAAATGCGTTGCGCTGCCTTGGCCTTTATGACTTCCTCCTCGGTAGCTCCTAACCGATTTCCTGCACGGACAATCACATCTAAACTCACTTTATCTAAGGACAAGAGACCGAGAGTAAGACCTGAAGAGATGGCCGACATGACAAGGAGGAAAAAGATTGCTACATAGTGAATCGCTGTCGAAACATCGGAGCTTGGGTTCAAATTGCTTGTGTCTGGAGCAACGTCCGTAAGCCGTCGAGCTACAAGACTAATTGAAGCTGTATGAATCAGCAGTGAAATCATAGAAGAAGCCAGAGATGACGACAATAACGACGAGATACTAAAGATCAACAGTGCTGGATAACTTCGCAACATGGCGAGACGATATTGAAGATTGCGTGAAACAAAATAAGTAGAGACTTCAGCCAAGATAAATGATACCTTATGGATACAATACGTCGGCGTCGGTACAAACAGGCGTTCTCAAAACGTCTCCAACAACTGTGCATCATAATGCTAGGTGCATACAACTTTTCTGCAACGGTGTAACTTGTCATCGGACTCAAGTGAGGCACTCACTACACGTAATATCCCGCTTGTACCATAATCTCTGGGTAAAGGTTGTGCCACTCCTGCACCAACGGCGCGTACAATTCCGGATGCGAATATTGGAAAGCAGCCGGATCCTCAGCAAAACAGACAAAGATCGTAGCAACAGAACTGTCGATTACAGCGAGGGGTGTGACAGCAACACCGATGCCGACCACAAGACCCAAGATCGCTAGAAACGCCGTGCTGTTTTCGAACGCGAAAGTGTCGGTCGTCTCCGCAATCAGCGCGCCAACGCCAGCGCATATGAGTCCTAACAAATGTAACCAGAAGTTTTGTCATACCCGATTTTCAAATTATTTAACATTTCAATGCACATGACACGTACCAATTCCAAGCGCTGCAAAGCCAAGCACGTTGCCAATAAGATCATCGTTGATAATAGCATCAAAACCACGCTGCTTGAAAAGCTCAAATACGGCCTTGCCAGCCTGTGTGAACTTGTAGCCATAGATTCCAACATAGACATATGCCCAGCGGTTAAAGTACTCCATAATAGACTGCAGGCAGCCCAAAATGCACTCAGCAACACATGCCAAGGCGCTCCCCCTCCTGGCGCCCATTTTCCGCCAACTGTAGACAAAACCAAGACCTCCTATCAGTAAATAAACATAACAACTACCCCATAATACCTCAGGGGAACGCACCGCGCGAAGCGCCTGCAAAAAGGCGACAATGAGCGAGCCAAAGCAAATGGATCCGAATGATGAAGTCATGCTACGCTTCAGTGAGGCACCCGTAGCACCAGATGACTCTGCGTTGTACCAGAATGTCGCGACCGTACCCGCGACGGTAGTGTGAGCAACGTTCTTGAAAACCTGAAGGCCCCAGTAGAATGACAGGAGCAGGAAAAAGTACGCAACATATGAAACCCCCGACTGCTTGTACGTATATCTCGAAGACGTTGTGGTACTCGTAGAGCTCGGATTGTTTTTAGCAATCTTGTTGGCGACACCAAGTAAAGCCATCGCCCATATTACCACCCACACGATCTGAACAATAGTGAAAACAATCGATACCGCATAGGTGGACGAATGCTTAGCAATCGCACCTTCAGCCACACGCAAGTTGGCAACAGCAAACGGGATGCGGTGCTGCACGGCACGAGCGTAGCAAAGGTTCAAGAGAGCAATGAGGAGACCAATAACAGCAATAAAAACATTGCCAATCATGAATCCATAACCTGCAAAAGCAAATGAAATGACCACATTGAACCAAAGCACGAATAGAATCATGACACGTGCGTAGGCTACAATAAGCTTAACCAGCAGTAGAGCCAATGTCATGGACACAACGGCCATGCCAGTGGCAATAACGATCGCAACCTTTGTATCATCACCCGACAATAGCTCGCTCGAGTTATTTTCCGGATCCGTCAGCGTCTTGATGCCCCATAAGCCCATTAGTGCGATAATAACACCCACATTCACTACAAAAAGTAGTGCAAATGGCCAATCTTGGCAAATAGTCTTCACTTCAGCATTCTTTTGCTCCCTATACAAATAAATAAACAAGATAACAGTTCATTCAATGAATTGAGCGACAATAATAACATTATCGAGTCAAGAAAAAGAGAGAGAGAAAGAGACTGCGTACGGTTTAATTGGGTCAATATTTGGTGCATTTTGTACATACTCCGTCGTGTATCTGATACAAAAAAAAGAGAGACAAAGACACTTCGTCAGTCAGGAGAGAGCAAATCAAGTAAATAAATAAACAACAAAGGAGAGATGATGAAGAAGAAGAAGAATGGTCACATACGGCTGTTGAAACATTGGTTTTCCCGCTACGTTTAATTACAATCGAAAATAGAGACTCAATCGACTTTTTCTTAGGGACTTTCTTTCTAAATGTCGTTTAATTTAATGTATACAAAATTCGGTTTTCATCCTAATTCTCTCTCTCTTTTTCTCGTGCATGTGTAAAAAAAGGTAACTATAAAAACCAGATAAATAAAGGCTCTTTTTTTCGAATTCAGAAGTTACTCATTATTAAGTTTCGAGTTAAAATATTTTACCCATTTTGTCAAAAATGTTTCAAATTCGAGTCGATGCAGAAGAAGAGGAAGTTAAAGCTGAAGAGACTTTACAAGTAATACATGATGCGTCTTTTTTAACTGGTAACCCACAAGTTCGAATTATTACTGGAAAATTGCGTTTCTATCGAGCCGATAGACCTTATTCTTCTACTTCTACTTCTACTTCTTCTCTCAGTAGCAGTAGCAGTCACAGCCAAAATAGTCATGATAGTCAACATTTGCCTACTGAACGCAGTGCATTGGTTTGTGTCGTGACTGTACCATCACATATGTCTCCCGTTGAGATTCTTGATTTTCTAGCGAGTTTTCAAGAAGATATTGCACTTGTGCGTATATTAAAGGATCCAGAACGTAGTAATTGTATGGTACTCATGCAATTTAAGTCACAAGAACGAGCGGATCAATTTTTTCACGTAAGCACGAAAGTAAACCCATTTTTTATTTGGGTACAAATTGATGGTGTCGTATGTTACTTACTTTATTTATATGTTATCTATATGATATATATTAGGACCATAATGGTAAATATTTCAACTCAATTGAGCAGGAACGATGTAAGATTGTGTTTGTGAGAAGCATTGAGTTTGATCCTGTGGTAGGTGAAGAATATCCAGATAATGATGCATTGGAAGAAAAAGATGCAGATGAAGCAAATACGCTTGTTGGTACTTTAAGTCCTCGGTTGGAGAGAAGAATCAACAGTGAACAAATGCGGAAATTATTTCCACCACCACCTGCAGGAATGACCGAGATTCCGACGTGTGCAGTCTGTTTAGATCGACTAGATGCTTCAGCGTCGGGTATTTTAACGACGTTGTGTAATCATTCCTTTCATTGTGATTGTCTCTTTCGATGGGAAGGATCAAGCTGTCCAGTGTGTCGATACAGCCATGGAGATATCGGGTCGTCGTGCGAGGTTTGTGGCATAGCGGAGCACCTTTGGATATGTCTGATCTGTGGCCACGTAGGCTGTGGGCGATACTCGGGTGAACACGCTAAAGAACACTATCAGGATACACTGCATACGTATTCGTTAGAACTAGAGACACAGCGCGTGTGGGACTACGCGGGCGATGGATATGTACATCGATTGATTTTGAACAAGCAAGATGGCAAGTTTGTGGAGTTTCCAAGTCCGGAAAACCATAGCGGCGAACGCTCACAGAATCCGCCAACTACTTCCGCAGAGGAGGAGGAAGGGGAACATCGGAAACTTGAGAAGCTTGCAGTCGAGTACAATTTTCTTTTGAAGAGGTAAGCAGCACTTGCTGACTCATCATTTTATCATGTAGTAAGTGTGAACTCATTTCTGCTCCTTGTGAACTATAGCCAACTGGAAGAGCAACGTCTCTATTACGAACGACTGCTTGTACGCGTGGAAGAAGGCGAGAGCCGGCAGCTGCTTAATGCACACGAGCGCGAACGCAAACAGCTTAAGAAAGCAAATATAAATCTAGCTCAAAAGACGAAAAAGCTGGAGGAGGAGCTGGCATTTGTCAGGTGTGTGAAGATTCTTGGACAGTCTGCTGATGCAGTTTGAGTATGCTGATGGTGCTTATGTTTTTGTTTGTACAGAGAGCTGAACAAATCGCTGATTGAAAACCAGAAGCAGTGGAAGGAGCGCGTACGTCTATTAGAGGAGCAAAATGCACGGGTTGAGCAGCAAACAGCGTTGCGCATTGGTGATCTCGAGGGCCAGGTCCGCGATCTAATGTTCTATTTAGACACGCAGAGCAAGGTGGAGCAGAGTGCTCACCGAGAGGATATTATTGTACGTCTTTCGTTTTTCATATACGTAAGCGTGACAAATAACTGACACGCCCCGCTCACTGTATCACAGGGTGGCACAATCAAAATTGAATCCAGGACGGCAGGTACAGACAACACCGTGACACCTTCATCGTTTGGACGAAAGACTAAAGACAGGATGAACTAATAGAAAAAAGCGTATGGATTCACACTGCTGTCATTTTGTTGACCTGAATGCGTTTATTAGTGCATCACTAGATCTGTTGAGGAGGTATCGAACGTATGAGGATACATTCAAAAGAGTAGATAATTAAAGTAGCACAAGTCTAAGAATCGATGATAGTTTGACTAGTATATCACCACCTCATATCCTGCTAGAGTTTCTTCATTTTGTCTGGCAGAAGAAGAAAAATTGCATTACTAAGTACGCTTTGCCTATGTAAAGTGCACATTATGATAGCTTTTGCCTTTTTTGTCAATAGCTGACATATTCTAGATTTTATATAAAAGAGCAGTGAAGTAACATTGAATGCTGCTATTATTGAGATATGTATGTACAACGGATTGCTATATGCGATCGTTGATTGTATTCTCGAATGTAAATCGAAAAGCTGAAATGGTGAAATGGCAGAAAGTGATTTGCTATTTTTCTAGAATTCAGACAAGGCTCATACGATATATATGTAATTTTGTATGGGACGTGTTGAAGCGTCCTATCCGATCATACTTCACTATGATATCTACCTATTAGTTACGGCAAACTCTGTTATCGAGTGAAAAGTAGTCGACGAAATCAGTTTTCAATTTGCTACAAACAACACAAACATCTACTGATCAATACTACAACCAAATCACTCAACCATAATCATGTTTAGCTCGTGGGATCTCGTACGACCGCGCTTCTGGTACCCCATGTCATCTCTGGAACAGTCCATGATGGAGCTCGAGCAGCTGCAAGATATTATGATGCGACCACGTTCCTTGTTCGACATGCCGCGCGACTTCTTTGCCGCGACAAAGTACGCTCAAGAAGAAGATGGGCCGGTTGATGACGACTTCTTTGTTGACCTACCAGTAGTATCGCACATGTACAAGCGGAAACCGTTCGACATGGCTTTCAAACAGGACGAAAAGGACATAAAGAGCAAGGAATCTACAGATAATGTTTGCTCGGACACCAACTCAATGGAAGTTGATGATGAGGGCAGTGAAAGGGTCGACCAGGCAGAAGAGTCTGCAACCAAGACAGTGGAGGCATCGAAAAAGGTCGAAGGTAATGTCGAGTCCAAAGAGAAAGACCTTGACAAGAAAAACGAAGAGCTCCAACGTCATTCTGACAAGATCACTTCCACAACAAAGCACGAGAGAGACGATGAGTGTCACAACTTTTCGTCTTATTCGTTCAGTAGCTCGTCCGTTATGGACGACAAGGGTCGGCGAGTGACGACCACACGTCGCCGCTACGAAGACTCAAGCGGTCGACTGAAAGCTGTGCATGAACGGGAAATTGATGGCAAGAAGTTGCGTACGACATGGCATCGTCAATGCAAAGAAGACGAAGGTCAGCACGAGTCCATTTGTTCAAGCGGCAGTCCGGAGGAGTTTGAAACGCTGTGGCAGCAAACTCCGTTTGGTGAGGCACAGAAAAAGACTGTGAAGGGTCAACTTCAGTCCGAGTCGGATGTGGTAAAAGAGGACGCTCGTACTAATAACTAAGAAACACAGAAAGGAAGTAGTAGTAATGGAGAAAAGTGGTCAAGGGCAACGAGTTAAGTACAAATAATCACAGATTGTGTTAACAAAAGATTTATATTGACAACACGTTATTTTAGGTCACAGAAACAAAACATTATGAACATCCAGTCGCTAAGAAAAATATGTCGTTTCATCGTTGTTTGACATGAACAGCTGGTACAGAGGAAGCTTCTACGATGCAAATTTTCATGCTGGGAATGTTCAAGAAAACCTATGTAGCTTACATACATGACGGTATTATATATATTTTATATTATTTTCTTGAATAAAATACGTAAACTAATCGTCATATTGTCATGTCATTTGTCAAATGGAAGAAAAACGACAAGACGCTCGAAGTACTCGGTCTTGTATCGAGCGACCTTCACGTGGTGTAAGTTCAACAACTGGCACCTCATCTAGTAATAGTGGATCTAGTCGCAATAATGTAGTGGTAAAAGTTGGTATGGTGGGCGATGCGCAGGTTGGTAAGACAAGTCTTATGGTTAAATACGTTGAGGGGAAGTTTGATGAGGATTATATCCACACATTGGGCGTTAATTTTATGGAAAAGACCATTGCTTTGCGAAATACGGAGATTACATTTAGTATTTGGGATCTAGGGGGTCACCGTGAATTTATTAGCATGCTACCGCTTGTGTGCAATGATGCAGTGGCCATTTTATTCATGTTTGATCTTTCCCGAAAGGCGACACTTACGAGTATTAAAGAATGGTATCGCCAAGTGCGATCGATTAACAAGGTAAGTCGACTGAGTTATCGATTGAAAATTATGTCAATGTGGATATGGTGAGGTTTAGAACAGTACTAAGTTGATAAGATGATTGATTTTTAGAATGCTTTTCCGTTCCTTGTGGGAATGAAGTACGACCACTTTGCCAATTTTGCCATGGAGGAACAGGAAGATATTACAAAACAGGTAAATGCTAGTAATGCATGTTGCAAGTGGGACTATTTTTCTGATGTTGATGGGGTAGTAACGTTGTTTTTGCTCCTGGAAGGCTCGCAAGTTTGCAAAGGCCATGAAGGCACCGCTTATCTTCACGTCAGCCTCGCACTCTATTAATGTGCAGAAAGTGTTTAAGGTAGTGCTTAGCAAGGTGTTTGACCTCAAGTGCACAGTGCCCATCATTGATCGCGTTGGTGATCCAATTCTACAGTACTAGTTGTCATCGTCATTACTATCGCCACCTCGACCAGTAAGAATTAGGAGCTGATGTTTTTGCGATGCAGTGTGTCGCGCCGGCACATTTATGGTGCTGAGACGTTTGACCTACTTTCAGGTGAAGCCTGACGTTCACTGACAGCATTCATCTGCATTCTCGAGTACTTCCTTTCTGTCAGTCTTCAGCATTGCAACAATAAAGTTTTAGAATTGATTGGACCGTAAGGTTGGTCTTTGTTGTATTAGACGGATTGGTGTATGTACCTGCTACCTCTCCTTGCAAGAAATGATAGACGATGAGACGCCATATGACTCTTTACTCAAGGTCAATTCCCACGTACTCGTGAATCCCAAGCGCGATGTTAATATTCTGTACTGCCTGCGTAGCTGCACCCTTGAGAAGATTGTCGATGGTAGCAATCACCACAAGTCGACCAGTGTTCGAGTCCAACTGGAAGCCACCGATAGTCACGTGTGGACGATACGCATTGTCCCTTACAAGCGGGATGTCCGGTGTAACCTTCACCAGAGCTTCATTGAGAAAAAACTCCTGGTAGAGCTCCTCAGCTTGTTTTGCCGAAGTGATTACTTTATCGTCCGCAAGCTGCGCGGACAACGTGAGGTGGATACCCTGAAAGTACGGTGCAACGTGAGGCATGAAACGAACGGGCGTACCGAGCTGGTAGCTAACTTCATGCTCGTGAATATGCTTTACCGACTTGTATGCAACAATGTTGTCATTAAGCACGTCCAAGTCGTTAGCTTTGGAGGGTGTTGTGCCAGCACCGCTGTAGCCCGAAACTCCAAACACATGTGGCGGAACACTCTCATTAATCAGCTTTCCGCTGACCTCGGGTTTACCTCCAAGCAGTGGCATCAATCCAAGCTGCGCACCAGTAGCGTAACAGCCGGGATTGGCAATGTGTGTGGCACCCTGCAACCGCGTACGTCCACCCGGAGCCTCCGGCAAGCCGTAGGTCCACTTTGAGTTAAACCGCTGGTCCGCGCTCAAGTCGATGACGACCTTGTCCTTTCGGCGAAGCGCATTCAGAGCGGTGGCGTAGTCCTCGCAGTACCCATTTGGTAACGCCACCACCCACACATCGACGCTCTCTCCAAACGGTGAGGTCGCAATACCGTCTAGCCCGAGCTCGCAGAACTCCAGCTCCGAATCAATGTTCAGCTTTACATCCTCAATTCGTTTCGCCGGCAGCTTCGTATGAGGATTGAGTGGTGGGGCAGAAGCAACCTCTACCACTTTCTTCCCAGCCAGAGCACGCGAACTGGCACATACGAGCTCCAGCTCCGGATGGCGACCAATCACACGGATGAGCTCACCGCCCACGTATCCACGCGCGCCGAGCAGACCAACGCGATATTTTTTATTAGGACCGCGAGGAACCACCGACGTTTTAGTATTACTCTTTGGACTAGTAGTAGCAGGCTTTTCCCCTTTAATGCACGTCGTACCCGCACTTTTCTTGCTCACAATCTCGCGCATCAGCTGTGATGCCGATGTGAGTACCACCGACGAGGTTGCTGGAAGGCCCTGCAAAAGCGTATTGATCTCGTTGAGCTTAAGGAGTGTACCTTGACGACCAGTGTAGTCACGCGCGGCCATACGCTCATAGTCCTTGGCCATATTGATCGTTTTGAGTTTCGTGCCATCATCTTCAATCCAGCCTCCTTTTGCGTTAACAAAGATGGTTTTAAGTGGCTGCAAGTTGAGAGCAAGCTGGCGAGCAGCAACGTCAGCATTGATATTGAGTGTCTGACCGTCTGTGCTCTCACCAAGACATGACAACACAGGAATTTGGCCCGCATCAATGGCCGCTTGGATAAGGTCGCCATGGATCTTGTTCACCTCACCCACAAAGCCATAAACATCCTTATCCTTAACGTCAGCCTGTATAACACCGCTCGTAATACCTCTAGCAGACACACCAGCCTCATTAAGCGCAGCTACAAGCTTTGCATTTGTGTCGATAAAGATCTTTTGTGCAATATCAAGCGTTTTTTTATCAGTAACGCGATTACCACCAATATATTGAGGTTCCACACCCTCTTTTTTCAGCTCTTCATTCATTTGTGGACCTGCACCATGTACAATAATTGGAAATAGACCCGTGTCTTTCATAAAGCGAAGTGATTCAATCAGTATTTCAAGCTCATTGATAATCACTTCACCACCGATTTTAATCACCGTTGTGTGTTTCTTTCCATCAGGCATACAATAAAGCTCCTTAAACTCTTTTAATGTAGACTCTGAAGCCAAAACCTTCGCCAGATTAACCGCATAATCATCATTTGTCTTGGACGAGAGCATTCGAGTCTGTAGCGTTATACAAGAAGCCATAGAGACGTCCCTCAACGGACAAACACCTATTTTCACATGAGAAGTAACACAAGAGACTGCAACCGCCTGTATGCTGCGTGCTACGGTGCGTCTAATTGCCGGTATTTGCTGAGCCACGGAGCGCCACATATTGGGGAAAGATCGATCGTTAGGAGATTGAAGTAAAACCGAATGGTATCAAAACCGGTATATAAGAAACTACCGGTTTTACTGTGGACTTACGCTGATGTAGCTTAAGTGCGGTATGAAAAAAAGGTGACCATTGGGCTTCCATGCGTACGATTGGCTGAGGATTGACGATAGGTACGTGGTCTCCAGCTGCAAAGTCCCGGCCGCGTACTTTGGACCTGCTGCCCATCCCCTCCCCTTGGGAGTGGATTGAGTGACGTGGCTCAACATCATCATGATGAAACGTCTGTCCGTCTGGGCGTGGGAGGCTTTAACGTAACAAGTTGTCGTCAACATTTGGAAAAGATTGAACCATGTTGAAGTCTTTCATGTTGAACTTTAGGAGTGTTTATGTCAATAGAATAAACAAATTACATAGAAAGACACTCACTTCACTTTACATGTTTCAGACAAAGCTGTGCATGGCTTTTTTCTTGTTGCTGTAATCTTGTCTGATGTAACTAAGCCCGTCTTTATTGGGATTTTTTCGGTGTCAGCTATGCTACTTCAATAGCCAACATTTCTCGGCAAAATTCTTCCGCAGCTTGTTAATTCTATGTGACATACATTATCCACGCACCACGTCATCTTACTTAACAACCACACCCTTAATTCATTGACAGACTGACTGACTATCAATGCGATCTTTTTTCCACGTCATTCATTGATTCATTATCCAATTCCAAGCGTTGTAAACAAAGCAATTCAATTGGTTGATATTGTTTTTGTGTGTTTCTTGACCAACACTCTTGTTCGATTGTTTTCAACGTAGTATAGAATTAGACAAAAACAAATGCTTCGTTTGTCATCTTCAATACAACGTCGTGTACCTTTATACAAAGCAAGTGGTAATCGTCTCTTAGTATCTGCACGTGAGAAAGTTGATCGTCGTCATGTCCCACGTTTTGAAACACCTGCTGTACTAGAATTTGAAGATGGTACATGTTTTCATGGTATCTCATTTGGGGCAAAGAAATCCATGGCTGGTGAAGTAGTTTTTACGACTGGTATGGTTGGTTACCCGGAGGCATTGACAGATCCATCATTTAAAGGCCAGCTTCTTAATATGACGTTTCCTATGATTGGTAATTATGGTGTACCAGACACCAAGATATTGGATGAATTTGGGCTTCATAAAAATATTGAATCCGATCGTATTCATGCTGCTGGTATGATTGTACAAGATTATTCAAGTCATTATAGTCATTGGAATGCTGCTCAATCACTATCCGAGTGGCTTGAGAGTGAGGGAATTCCAGGTATTACTGGTGTCGATACGCGTGCTATCACGAAGAAAATCCGTGCGAATGGAGCCATGGCCGGTCGTATTATTGTAGAGGGCAGTGCTCCACCAAAACTTATTGATGTGAACGAGAATAATCTTGCTGCTCTTGTCTCGACAAAAGAAATTATCACATATGGTAAAGGAAATCCAATCAAGATCTTGGCGATTGATTGTGGTATCAAGCACAATATAATTCGAGAACTTGTCAAACGTGGTGCAGAAGTAAAACGCGTGCCGTGGAATCACGATATTTCTTCTGAAATTGGCTGGTATGATGGTCTTTTCATTTCAAACGGTCCGGGTGATCCAGCGATCATGAAGGAAACGACTGCTCAACTTCAAAAGGCTTTGAATCTACAAGGCGGTAATATTAAGCCTATATTTGGAATCTGTCTCGGTAACCAGCTTCTCAGTCTTGCTGCCGGTGCCAAGACGTACAAGCTGCCGTTCGGAAATCGTGGACAAAATCAACCTGTGCAAGATTTAAAAAGCGGGCAGAGCTATATCACTGCCCAGAACCATGGTTACGCAGTAGACGGCAAAACACTGCCTAGTGAATGGGAAGAGCTCTTTGTGAATCTCAACGATGGCACGAATGAAGGTATCATTCACAAGTCCAAACCGTACTTTACAGCACAGTTCCACCCAGAATATGCTGGCGGACCTACGGATACCAAGTTCCTGTTTGATACGTTCCTTGATGCCGTACGCACAAAGGAGAAAGGACCAATCAAGAATTTGGTGCAGCGGCAGAAAGTTACGCGCCCCAAGGTGAAAAAGGTGCTAGTGCTCGGATCAGGTGGTCTGTCTATTGGTCAGGCCGGTGAGTTTGACTACTCTGGCTCACAAGCTATTAAGGCACTAAAGGAGGAGGAGATAGAAACGATCCTGATTAACCCAAATATTGCTTCCGTGCAGACAAATATTGACCGCTCTAGCGAGGCTCAGGCTAGCAACGTGTACTATCTGCCTGTGAACCCTGATTTCGTGGAACAGGTAATCAAGCGTGAGCGCCCGGACGGTATCCTCATCTCCATGGGCGGACAAACTGCATTGAACTGCGGTGTAGAGCTTGACAAGCGGGGAGTATTCGAGAAGTACGGTGTGAAGGTCCTTGGTACGCAAATTGATGTGATTAATTACACGGAAGACCGTGAGCTGTTCAACGACAAGCTCGCGGAGATAAATGAGTGTATTGCTCAAAGTGAGGCTGTGGAGTCAGTGGATGATGCAGTGAAGGCTGCGTACAAGATTGGTTTTCCGGTGATGATCCGTTCAGCGTTTGCGCTTGGCGGTCTAGGCTCAGGTATTTGTGAGGATGAGGCTCACTTGCGCCAGATGGCCCAGCAGGCCTTCTCTGGTAGCCCTCAGATCCTGGTCGAGCGCTCGATGAAGGGTTGGAAAGAAGTTGAGTATGAAGTGGTGCGTGATGCTGCCAACAATTGTTTGACGGTGTGCAACATGGAGAACTTTGACCCTCTGGGTATTCACACGGGTGAGTCAATTGTTATCGCGCCTTCGCAGACTTTGTCGGACCGCGAGTACCACATGCTGCGAGAGACTGCTCTTAAAGTGGTGCGTCACCTTGGCATTGTTGGCGAGTGTAACATTCAGTATGCACTGAATCCCGAATCGGAAGAGTACTGTATTATTGAGGTGAACGCACGCCTGTCACGTTCGAGTGCTTTGGCATCGAAAGCGACGGGCTATCCGCTTGCTTTTGTGGCTGCTAAGCTTGCTCTGGGTATCAATCTGCCAGACTTGAAGAACTCCGTGACCAAGAGTACAACTGCTTGCTTCGAGCCCTCCCTTGACTACTGCGTTGCCAAGATGCCGCGTTGGGATTTGGCCAAGTTTGACAACGTCAGTACTGAGATTGGCTCGTCCATGAAGAGTGTTGGTGAGGTAATGTCGATTGCCCGCACTTTTGAAGAAGCAATACAGAAGGCGCTGCGTATGGTTGAACCTTCAAATGAGGGCTTTGAGCCGCGTTACGACCAGTTGTCGCATGATGAGCTAGTAAAAGCTCTGGGCAAGCCTACAGACCGCCGTATTTACCAAATTGCGCAGGCATTGAAGTCTGGCCAGCTGTCTATTGATCAGGTGCACGATATCACAAAGATTGACACTTGGTTCCTGAGCCGTCTACAAGCCATTTCCGATTGCGATGTGAATCTTACTGGCAAGAAGCTGAACGACCTGACCGGTGCTGAGATCGCCGAGGCGAAGAAGCTGGGCTTTTCAGACCGTCAGCTTGCTCGCATGTTCAGCTGCACTGACGATGAGGTGCGCGCTAAGCGTAAGGAGCTTGGCATCGTGCCGGCGGTGAAGCAAATTGATACGCTTGCTGCAGAGTACCCGGCTCAGACCAACTATCTGTACATGACATACAACGGTACGGAGCACGACGTGCCCGCGCAAGAACCGAACGAGGGCGTAATGGTGCTAGGTAGCGGTGCGTACCGAATTGGTAGCTCTGTAGAGTTTGACTGGTGCGCTGTAAGTTGCATCCGTACCCTGCGCAAGCTTGGTCGCCGCGCTGTGATGCTCAACTACAACCCTGAGACCGTGAGTACGGACTATGACGAGTGCGATCAGCTGTACTTTGAGGGAGTTGTCGAAGGAACGTGTGATGGACGTTAACGACCGCGAGGGCGTTCAGGGTGTCGTGGTCTCTGTGGGTGGACAGATCCCAAACAACCTTGCACTTCCGCTGCACAAGGCCGGCGTGAAAATTTTGGGCACGCATCCGATGATGATTGACAGTGCTGAGGACCGCTATAAGTTCTCGAAGCTGATGGACAAGGCTGGCGTGCCTCAACCGGCGTGGAAGGAGCTGACTAGCCACGCTGCCGCGCGCGAGTTCGCTGAACGCGTCGGCTATCCCGTGCTGGTGCGTCCGTCGTACGTGCTGAGTGGTGCGGCTATGAATGTTGCGTACAACTTCGATGAGCTGGATGATGTGCTGAACCAGGCGGTTTCTGTGTCTTCGGATCATCCCGTTGTGATCACGAAGTTCGTGGAGGGTGCCAAGGAGCTGGAGCTAGATGCTGTGGCCAAGGATGGCAAGGTAATCGCTGCAGCAATATCCGAGCATGTGGAGAACGCTGGTGTCCACAGTGGCGACGCCACACTGGTGCTACCACCTGTGGAGGCGAGTTCATTCTATACAAACCAGATAAAACGACACGCTGAGAAGATTGCAAGGGCGCTGAACATTTCGGGTCCTTTTAACGCTCAGTTCCTGGCCAAGGGTGCTGAAGTCAGCGTAATTGAGTGCAACTTGCGTGCCTCGCGTTCGTTCCCGTTCGTGTCGAAGACGACGGGTGCAGACTTTATTAACGCTGCAACCAAGGTGATGGTTGGTGAGTCGACGGACCACGACAACTTGCCTCCCCTTGACGGCCCGAAGCGTCCGGAGGGCTACGTGGGTATTAAGTCACCAATGTTTTCGTACACACGTCTTGGTGGCGCAGACCCGCTGATCGGCGTCGAAATGGCTTCGACAGGAGAGGTGGCTTGTTTTGGTAAGAATCATCACGAAGCGTTCCTGAAGGCGTTGATTTCGTCAAACTTTAAATTGCCGGAGAAGAATATTTTGCTGTCCATGCAGGACAAGTTCTCGGAAGAGTTTGTGCACGCCGCCTACAAGATGCACGAACTAGGCTATAGCCTGTTTACGACGGAGAAGACGCATGCGTTCCTCAATAAGTACGACATCCCGTCGACGAAGGTGAACTTCCCGTCCGACGGTGACAGCGAGATGAACGTGCTGAACCTGATCAAGGAAGGCAAGATCGATCTGGTGGTAAACCTGCCTAACAGTCAGAGCCAACAGATAGAGAACAATTATCGCATTCGTCGTACGGCAGTGGACTTTTCCATTCCGCTGCTGACGAACATCAGCCTGGTGCAGCTTTTCGTGGAAGCCATGGCTGTTCACAAGAACCAGCCGCTGCTTGGTCTTGAGCCAGACAGTCTCTTTGACTACTACAAGCGCGAGAAGGAGGACGACGCGTGGACTGACGTGCACGAGTTCCACTAAGCACGTGATGGAACCTCGCATGAGAAAGTAGTTTGTACGGGATTAATGCGTCAAGTATCTCTGGAGTAAGAAGTAAGTCAAGTTGTTATCGAACGACTCAATCAAATAATCAACTTTTTCCATCGTATAGCATGAAGCATTTGTTATGGTCTTTGAACCAGTTCTCTAAGCCAAATGCAAACAATTCTCTTGTATAAGCAAATACTTCTTTCTCGTCCATGGCCTTTAGAATTGTCATCTCCTTTGAGCTCTTCTTCGTCTTGGCTGCTGCTTCATACGTCAACTCTAGGTATCGTGCTGAAAAATACTTAACAAGTTGCGGATGCTGTATCTCCAACTGTTTCTGCAAGTAGGCACAGCGCGTGTAAGCTGCAATCACGTACGCATCGGCAACGTCAAATGCTGAGTCTGCTAATGCGCCACTCCGCATCCGTTTCAATCTGGGGCAGAGCTTCTAATCCCTCAGCATGTTGTGCCTGCTATCTCGGCTTTCTAGCTACCTCGGCTCCTTGCTGCTCGAAGAATTTGCATGACCTGATGTTTGATGTTGCTCTCTTTACCGCTGCTACTTGATGCAGTACTAAGACCAAAGTACCCACGAGCAGCTGATGGATGTGTGTGCAATGGCAGTACGTTGAAGCGTTTCCAACACGAGAAGGACACAATTCCGTTGAGCTGTGCCAATTGAAAGATACCGGCGTTATGAAAGCGCCCGGAGCGGAATATTCGGCAGAGATAAGCTTCAATACCTACGACCCATCGAGCTGATGGCTGCTGTTGCTGCTCAGCGTCTTGCACTGTCGCTAAGTAGTCGTGGACAGCACCACCAATATGAAGAACGTCACTCACTTGCGAATTGCGCAGTGGGGATCTGCTTCAGCGACATACGGGACCACGCTCCTCACAATGGCAAACCCTGCGCTGTTGGTGTGGTGACATCAAGGTACAAGCACACCGCAATGGTAATGGTTGCGTACCAAATGCTGGGAATGCTTCGAGGTTTACACCTTCAAAGCCTTTTGGATTTTGAACTCATTTGTGACGTATAGTATTTGCAGGATTGCTTTTACATCTTTGCGCAGTTATGCTTAATGTATAATGGCGTAAGTGAAAAATGCACGGACAGAAAGGGTCCTACGAGCTCCTTAGCGATACCAACAAAGCTTTTGATGGCTTCCTTCCACGATTTAGGCAGTGTTGCATTGAAGCATGGGCACATTACAAAGCGCCAATTGGTAGTAAAATTGTCAGTATGCA